TTAGGCTGCTCTAAGCACTGAGAGTGCCAATATTCAAAGAAAATCGCAATCCAGGTAAATCCAGGCAGACAGTGGTTGACCTTCCATAAAGGAAAGTAAAGGGCAAGTCTTCTTTCCAAAATTCTCAAGGGACTTCGTTTCCTTCAAGAGGACCATCGGCTTCTGCATCAGTTTCTTCCTTTTGTGTTTCTTTATCTAGTTCTTGGTGAACATTCTAATATCATTCAGGATTTCTATTTTCCCAGCTGTTCACAATGACTTAAGAACTTCATATCTAACTCTGCTCTTCAACTCATTATAGAAATGCTAATAATATAAGTCAAATTCTTTGCTTATGAGAAATTGAACACCTACTGTATTTGCTTTCGTGATTCTCCTGATGTCTGATCAACAATAAATTTTACATTACATTTATTTTCTTTTTAATTTCAAACTGATCATTCAGTTCAAGCTTTTCTTTATGCATCTTAAGAGTTTTAGAAAATTGGAATTTGATTTCAAGTTTATTAAGCATTTGTTCCTTTCTGGTTCATATACTGTTATCTCCATCTATTAGAAAGTATTTTTCCCAGTCATCAAAACCTGATTATTGCTTAGTGTTAATCTTGATCAGATGGAGAAGTTCATTCATTTGAAAGTAGGAGTCCTGTGGTTCCTCTCCCATATCTTATGTGGCTATGCTTTTTTCCTAAAGTGGGCAGCTCCCTAGAGTAATTTACCACTTTACAGCAAATGCTTTGAATTGGGCTGCTCGGCAATGCATTATGAGGTAATTGTCTCATTTTCCCTCTTCTCAAATCATAATGCTCTCTTTGATGACTTCCTCCCATGATGCTTCTTGCTAGCTTCTTGCACACCTGAGAAGAAGTGAGGGGATGAAATGGTCATTTCATTCATTCATTCATTCATTCATTCATTCATTCATTCATTATTATTTCTGAATGGTGAATTGTGGTTACTTGTCAAGTGGAATTATTACTTATCTGAAACTAATTTGACCAAAGTTACTCCAATTTTAATAAATATATTCTCCAAATGTGTGGCATTGGATTACGTGACAGCCATTTGCAAACCTTATTCCCTAATGCAGCTTTTTAAAAAAATGCTTAATGATTTGCACAGGAAAATGATAAGATCTGGAAATTCCATTTAATCTCTAAATTTCTATTCAAGGACTGATCCAAGAATCCTTGAATGTTGGAAAAGACACTTAGGCTATCAAGTCCAACTCTCTATTCAGGGCAGGAATCCAAATTAAGTATCCATAATGGACAGCCTTATGGTTTTGGCTTGAATATATCAAATAAAAGGGAGCCCCCTATCTTTCTGAATAGGTTCCACAAACTGCTCTTTTAGGGTATTTTTTTACTCAATTTGCAATCTACCTTCCTGTAACTTAGATCCATTATTGTTCTGTTTACTGGATTAAGATATAATGGGACTTGCCCCCCTTCTGTATGACACTCATTCAGACACTCAAAAATGCTATATCCTGTTTCCACTACCACCAATCTCCAAGTCTTCTCTTCCTGGTGCTAAACACTCCTATTCCTTCCATAATCTTAGAACATTGTTTTTATCCTTGGTCATCCTCACCCTTCTCTGAAGTTTTTTTTTTCTGTTACCCTGAAACCTTCTGAATGTATCAGATTCAAAACTTCACCCTAGGACTGAGAGAGAAGGACTGGCCTAAGGTCACCCAGCTGGTTTTATGCCCTAGGCAGGATTAGAATTCAGTCTCCCTCTTTATAGGCTTAATGCTTTAACCACTACACCAAACAGGATCTCCAGTTTCACAGGTACAATATTCCCCCCTTTTTTTCCAGTGCGTCTTATCTTCGTTTTCTAAATAAAGAAGTTTGCATTGTCCATGATAATTTTTATTCTATTTGAGGCCCATTTCTGTGTTAAATTAACTTAATTTTATATTCTATTTCTCTCAACTAGGTTACTTATTTATATACAGAATTTGGAGATCACCCAAATCCCTCACAGAATGACATTAGCGATCCCATTTAATCTTGTATCATTTTGTGCAGCTTGATCAACATTCTCCCTTATTTATCCAAGTTATTAAATATAGAAAAAGAAAGGTCTAAAACAGGTGGCCTATAGTAATGCAATTAATCTCAATTTCAAGGTCCTAAGAGTGTCCTGGAAAACCTTAGTTGAGGTAAACTATTCAATGGGACTTTTTTAAAAAATATATCATAGATCAAATATTGCAGTCTTAAAGATGTACCTGAGAAGTCATGTAGTTTGGCTTTCATGAAGGTAAGATCTGAGCCCATGTCTTCATGAATTGACTACAACATATTTCATTTTTAGACATTTGTACCTGAACTGTTTCTGAATCAAAGAACTTACCTACTTTCAGCAGGCTCATTTCAGCTTATAACATATTCCTTTTTAAATCCTATCCCATCCTTTTAGATCCTAAGAATGATGTTCAGCTGGTCCTACAAGCTTAAACCATGGGGGTTGCCATAAAATGGGAAAGTGATGGGAATCCCTTAATTTGTATCCTTCAAAAATCCCCTGGTGGCTTCATTGGAGAGACCTTGGATACTTCCCAACTGCTTTTCTTGCAAAAGCCTAACTGCCCATTTGCTTTATCTTTCTTCCCAGCCAATCAGCTACTCTCTCTATGTGACATCATAACCACTGTCAGTGCCCAACTATGATCATCACCTTGATGGACTATGCTGGATGGCAATGATTAATTTTTGATAGTGCCACCAAATTGTTTCTTTTGAAAATGGCAGGAACATTTGCACTTATTCTGGTGCCATTTCCTTTGAATATACAGATCCCTATCTAAACACTTACCTCATGTTTTCCTCTTGACTAGGGGTGTCAAACTGCCGGCCCATGGGCCGGTTGCATCATGCAGAGGCCATGCCCACCCCAGCTCTGGCAATGCAAAAAAAGTTACAACACGTTTGACACCTGTGCTCTTGACTGAATGCTTGCACATTACTTTCACAAAGGATGTTTGTGCTTGTGTGTAAAATCAAGTGCATTCCCCCTAAAAATAGTCTAGTGGCTTGAGCTCCAGATTCAAGTCATCACTCAGAACAGATTGGACGAGAGTCACATTATCTTGGCCTGATCAGCCTTGTAAGGTTGTTGTTATTAGGAACTCTCACAGAAAAGGCTCCTGTCTCAGAACTCAGGAATCCTGATAAGAACTCGGGCATGGAGCTGATAAGAACTTGATCCCTGAATTTGTGTGTGTGTGTGAGAGAGAGAAAGAGACAGAGAGAGAGACAGAGAAATGTTTATCTTTGCAATGAGCTTCTTTGTCCATCCCAAAATATGAAACATCAATTCAGGCAAAGCAAAAAGTATTTATTAAGGGGGTGGGAGGGTCATCTTTTTCTAAAGTACAAGAAAGCAAGTGATTAAACAATAAAAACATGGATTATATGTGAGACTTGAACATTTTGTGAAAACACAGCTCTCTGGAAAAATGCTGGGTAACATGGAAAGAACAGAAGAGGACGACCAAGCGGCATGGTGAATAGACTCATTTACAGTGGCGATGGAGGCACTGTTGGGAGACCTGAAAAACCAGGTTAGGGATAGATGGACTTGGAGAAAATTTATGTGATTGCTAAGAGTCAAAAAGAACTTGGGAGGGCATCATCAGTTTATCTGTTTATTAAATTTCTACACCACCCATCTGACCTAAGTGACTGAGTGGTTTACAGGTTCTTGCAAATGTGCATTAAATGTAAAAGTACAGCATCACAGTCGTGTTATTTTGTTATGCTGTCAGTACACTAGTGATGTAAAATATACCATTTGTCTCATCTGCATAGCGATGTTACACTGCAGATATCATAAAAGGCAAAATTAACATAAATTTAATAGCCTTATCCTGGCTACTTTGGGTACAGCAGACTCTTATTATTACAGGGGAATGCAAATGGTTTGATCTGCTGCATTCAAAGCCCATTAAATGAGATTCATTGAATCCTAGTCTCAGTTGCATGCGTTGCTATGTGCCTAACTGATTTTGCATTTCAGATGGCATTCACCAATGAAGTATATGCAATACATTCATTTGACGAGTCATTTCTTAACTTTAGCCTGCAAAGCAGCTGTTCTAGGCAGGCCTAAGTATATATCGTATTTCAGCCAATGGCTAATACTGTGCCATCTGGGTCTGCTGTGCAATGTAAAATGTTTGGCCCTTTGCCATTACTGTATTTTAATTTCAGCCATATCCCCTCAAGGCTTTGTGTCACGTTCTTACTACCTCTTACAGCTGATTAAGAACTCCGTATACACTTAGAAGGGGGAATATGGAGGATCAAAGAAGCTTAATTATAATGATTATAAGTGTCTCAAGTTTCTCAGGGAGAATAAAAGAAAGTTGGAAAAAAACACGAAGTTATCAGCTGCCTCTGGCAACTTTGAAAGCTGCTGGAGCGTCTAGGGATTGCTTTAAGCACCAGGTTCTTCATTTCAGCCATTATATTGTCATTACGGCAGGTGTCAATAGCAGTTACTGCAGTCCAAGTCACCCCGGAGAATGTCAGTTTGAGTGCACAGAGTTCACAGATGCAGAATGAGGATCATTATTATTTTTAAAGACCTTAAAACACCTGATCAGTGTCTGCTCAACATTTGTTAATGTAGTTTGTTAATGTAAGGAATGTAGTTGCACAATCAGGTTGAGATAATCATAAGAAATATAGTGATCGATCTCTGGAAGGAGAAGTATTTTGTTCCCCTTGGTGCCAATCAGATCTGCCTGGGAAATCTATAAAAAGGATGCTCAATAGTGCCTCCTGCTGATGTATTCTAGAAACTGCACCAAAAAAGCACACAGTTCCTTGTATACAACAGTCATAAACAGAAACTACTGAGAACCACAATGAATTTATTTCTTTGAAGTTGCATGCAATCCCCAAAAGACTTGGGGCATTCCTCACGGGGCCTCCAAAATTTCCTGTTGAATTTTAATTTTTTAAACTAAATCACACTAAATGTTTATCCTGCTCTTGCTGCCTTTTGAAGTTCATCCTCCACTACCACCACCACCCCCAAAAAAAGTTTGGTTTTAACCTAGGCTGTAGTGTAGACCAAGCCATTGCAGTACAGGTACTCCTTGCCTTATGACCACAACTGAGCCCAACATTTCTGTTGTTAAGTGAGACAGTTGTTAAGTGAATTTTACTCCATTTTATGACCTTTCTTTCTACAGTTGTTAACAACTGCAGTTGTTAAGTTAGTAACATAGTTGTGAAGTGAATCTGATTTTCCTCATTAACTTTGCTTGTCAGAAGGTGACCAAAGCAGATCACATGACTCTGGGACACTGCAACCATCATAAATATGAGTCAATTGACAAACGTCCGAATATTGATCACGTGACTTTGAGGATGCTGTAATGGTTAATCCTTAATTCTCCAAGTCGCACATATCCATCATGGCTAATATTCTTCAGTGTGAATAAATACTTATTAGACTGACATTGAAAACCTGCAGTTTTGAGTCTAGTACAGGTAAATCCTCGACTTATAACCATTTGGTCAGTGAACTTTTGAAGTTCTGAACAGCACTGAAAAAAGGGACCAGTCCTTATGACCGTTGCAGCATCCCCATGATCATCTGATCAAAAATTGGGCGTTTGGCAACTGGCATGCATTTACAATGGTTGAAGTGTCCTAGGGGTCACTTAATCGCCATTTGACCTTTCCAACTGATTTCCAACAAACAAAGTCAACGGAGGAAGCCAGACTCATTTAATAACCCCATGATTCACTTATCAACCATGGACTACCTGTACTTTATGAGATTTGCCTACCATTTTATTTAGCAGCTCTCCTATAAAATACAATACAAAAACAATATAATTGGAATAAGAACTCCAATCTAACTGGCAATTAAATTAAATAGTAAAAGTCATCAGCTAAAATTCATTTGAAAGAATTTGGCACTGTTGGCTGCAGTTAATCCCCAAATAATTTTTAATACAGCTATGTTTTCACTTCTTTCTGGAAGTCCACAAAGGGGGGGGGTGTCCTTGTGTCAGGGGACAAAGCTGTCCCAAAAAAGGGGAATTGTGACAAAACATCCACCATTGGACCTTCTTTTCTTGTACCTTTTGATAGAGACCCATAGCCGGTGCTCCCTTTCAGACAGAATAGACTAAAACATTTTGGAAAAGACAGTCCCAATAATCCCAGTCTTGAGCCATACTAACAACCCCAGACTAAGTCCTGATTCCTACAGCCTAATAAACCAACCTAGGATTTAATTGGGGGGGGATGAACTCTATTAGCATTTGCAATAAATTGGGATCTATTGCATTGCATTTATTGACTCCAAGGCACCTGAAGGCAGGACAAGAAGCAATGGATGAAAACTAATCAGAGAGAAGCAACCTAGAACTAAGGAGAAACTTCCTGACAGTTAGAACAATTAATCAGTGGAACAACCTGCCCCCAGAAGTTGCGAATGCTCCAACATTGGAAGTTTTTAAGAAGAGACCGGACAACCATTTGTTTGAAACGGTACAGGGTTTCCTGCCTGAGCAGGGGGTTAATAATAATAATAATAATAATAATAATAATAATAATAATAATAATAATAATAATAATAATAATAATAATAATAATAATAATAATAATAATAATAATTTGCTTAAGGTTATATCAGAACCCAGACAATTCTGACTTAGCCAGAAAACTGTGATCAGGAAGTTGGGAAACAGTTCTCCAAGTATAGGTGGAAGTCTACCCAGTTGAAAAAGTCTTTAGAAAAGAGCTCCATGTTTAGAACCACTATCTTGGGAATAAATGCCAGGGAATACAATAGGACTTACCACTGGCTAGGTCAGTGATGGCGAACCTTTTACAGACTGAGTGCCCAAACTGCAACCCAAAACCCACTTATGCATCGTTGAGTGCCGGGTGGGTGTGGCCCATTGGCTGGGTGTGGCTGTGATGGTAATGGCAGACTGGGTGGGACTAAAAAGTTCAATCAATCAATTCTAATTTTGCAAGATCTTTTTTTCCCCGTGAGAAGTTGAAATTGACTGATTGAACCTTTTTTTTTTTTTTTGCACACGGTGGCGGAGGCCTAAAGCAAAAAGGTTTTATAAAACCCAGCTGAAGGCCTAGGACTGGGACGACAGCAGATGTGCCCACAGAGAGGGCTCTGAGTGCCACCTCTGGCACCCGTGCCATAAGTTCGCTACCACTGGGCTAGGTTGACCTAAAGTACTAACCATTACCAACCTCATTTTAGCCTAGAATGTTGTCCAGAACAAGCCAGCATGCCTAGTTTAGGTTTCAGCACGAACTTGGAATTAATGCTGCCAACCTGATTTAAATAAAGGATAAGTCTGTGTATTATAGAAAGACAGTTATAAGAATATCCAATGAGTCACAAGTTCCTGCTCAAAAATATCAACTGAAAAACAGGTGGATCACATCTATCTTCTTTTTTAATGGCTTTTCTTCCTTGTTCTACACTTGACTTATACCTGTCCTTATTTCAAGCATAAAAGACCAGGACTATATATGAAGTTCCAATTAAACTGATTTACTAGTAATCATGCCTATGCACAGGAATCTAAGTTAGCACTATCTTGGCATTAGATAAGGATCAACAAAATTCAAGAGCAGTTGGACTTAGTCCGTTTATGGGTACTTATTGATTCTAGGCTGACTCCTCTTTTGACTCCACCCAGGTTCTGCCACTCCTTCTCCCACACCTTGTTTGCAAATGACATAAACCATCAAGCTGAGCAGTAGAATTAATTCAGTTTTTCAAGGATCAGCCCATTTTCTTCTGATTGTCTATGGACTTATACCTCATTGGTTGGGGAAATGGCAATGACCTTTTAAGCCAATATTTAAAATTTAACCAGAGCCACACCTTGGCCATTCTTGCACTCTGCCTAGAATTGAATCATCAAGCATTTACAAGGCAATCAGTAAGTTGTCTCTAACCGGGCAGATACATTGTTGGGTATAGCAGACCTCTGAATATTTAGTAAGCTTTTCTTCCCTTAATATATTTATATAATGATAATATAGATTGTGTGCATTTGATATTATGCAAGGAGACCAAAAGATCAGATGTTCTTGAGACATATTTTCATGATTCTTCAGATTTCTGGGGCATAGAAACTGACAGCTTTTTGCAGTTTATTCTAAGAATTTATTTTTTGACTATGGGCAATACAATATTTTATTTTGGGATGATGTGTTAGCAAAACCTCCTTATTAAATAGCTAAAACTCCTACTGGGAAAATAGAAATAATTGGTACTCTTATTTGTATATTTTCAGGGATACTTCAAGCATAATGTGGTAAACTAGATTTGTTTTAACTAGCTTGCACATTGTACAAAATGCTAAGGCAAAAAATCATGGTTTACAAACCACAATAGCCTGGCTCATAGATCCTGCTATGCCATAATATAATCTGTCAGGTTTTGGAATATGTACAGGGTGCCAAAAGTCAGACCATATAGGCCAATCACAATATGCTTTAATAATTAATATTTTTTCCATGTTACTATACTTAGGAATGTTCAAATGTCATTCATCATCCTAACATGAGGTAGGAAGCGTTTAGAAGAAAATGGTAATCAATTGTAATATTTAATACACATTTAATACTCTTGTCTATGGCACCTGACTTTTGATCTACCCTGTATACGAATCCATTATTCTGTGTTATGACTAAGCATGTAGATTGGTCAGTTATTATGAACAAGAACTGAAGCTTTATATTCGCTCTGTATTACCTACAATTTTTATTGTGATCAATGATCTATCCAGAATAAGATATAAAAATCATATAAACACCAATCAGAATATGGTAATCATGGATATTTGATTAGGTGCTCGAACTACTTCCATGAAAAATTATCACAACATTGGTGATGCTGTCACTGGACACAGAAATTAAGAACTTTGTTTGCTAAAATTCTATCTATTTGGGTATTGTTACAAGTTGGGTGAAATGAATGAGTTCCATAGACCTCTATAAAAATTACAGTACATGAGTGATGATTTTGATTTCTCCTGAAATGCCTAGAGTCAAGTCTGTTCAGGTAAGGATTTTTTAAGTATCCGTTCAGCAAAAATGCCGATGTTAGTTTCTTTACCAAAAACCAGGGGTCACCATTATTGATCTGTAAAGCCAGACTTTCTTGCAGTTGGCTGAAGTGTCTGTCGTGAAAGGACAGCAAAGTATTCATTCATGTTGGAATAATTGAGTCAGTAATTGACTCAACCAGCCAACCTTGGATATTATGGTATTTGGGATGATTGCGGTGCTAATGATCTCATTTCCATCAGCCCAGAAGATTTGACCTAACCCAGCCCAAATTTACTTTTGCATGTAAAATGCATTCCCTCAGATCAATGATGCTTTACTACGTTATTAACTCCAAGTTGGAAGGGGTGCAGATTGTTCATGTGAAGGGCAACCTTATCTGAAGATAGATATTTAAGACTTATAAAAGATGTGGCTCTAACTGGGATTCCTATAACCGGCCTGTAAATTTCTTCATGGACAATATATAACAGCAAAGAGTTAAATGATCATCTAGCAATCCTACTCAAACCTACTTTGCGTGACATGTAAGAGATTCTAGAAGTTTCAGACTTAGTAGTCTGTCTAGTGGTTGTGCAAGGCTGTCTTGGCATATATTAACAAACTTGATCTTGGGGAGTAGGTCTGAATTTCAGGATACAACAATGACTTCAATGATCAAGAGGAACTAAGCATTTCTCGAAACAAAGTATATTGTGTGAGAAGCCTTGCTGATGAAGCCCGGTGTCAAAGGACATCAAACAAAGAGCTGGTTCTTTACTTATTAACCATTTGGAGATAAGATTTATTACAAAGACCATCTGGAGATACGGTTAATTGCAAAGTCCAAATAGTAGCTGTAATCTTACCCAACAAGGCAAATTTCACTACTCAAATTTCAAATTAACCCAATTCCCACATTCACAAAGATTAAATTTACTTGATTGGGCTTACTGCCGATACATGAATTCAGTTAATTATAAGGTTTTCAGAAAATCATGGACAACAAAAACATGCTAAGTATTACAAGTAGTCCTAGACTAACAACCAAAATTGAGTCCAAAATTTCTGTTGCTAAATGAGACAGTTGTTAAATGAGTTTTGTCCCATTTTACGATTCTTGCCATAGTTGTTAAGTAAATCACGGTGCTTGTTAAGTTATTAACATGGTTGTAAAGTGAATATGGCTTCCCCATTGCCTTTTCAGAAAGTGGCAAAAATTGATTACGGTATATAATCCCCAGATCCTGCAACCATCATAAATATGAGTCAGTTGCCAAGTGTTCAAATTTTGATCTCATGACCATGGGGATGCTGCAATGGTCATAAGTGTGAAAAACGGTCATAAGTCAATTTTTCAATGCTGTTGCAAATCCAAACAGTCACTAAACAAACTTTTATAAAGACTACCTGTACAGTACATACTTCACACATTATACTAGTGGTGGCGAACCTATGGCACGGGTGCCAGAGGCGGCACTCAGAGCCCTCTCTGTGGGCACGCGCACCGTCGCCCCAGTCCTAGGCCTTCAGCTGGGTTTTATAAAATCTTTTCGCTTTAGGCCTCCACCGCCGTGTACAAAAAAAAAAGGTTCAATCTATCAGTCAATTTCAACTTCTCGCGGGGGGAAAAAAAAGATCTTGCAAAGTTGGAATTGATTGATTGAACTTTTTAGTCCCATCCAGTCTGCCGTTACCACCACAGCCATGCCCACCCAATGGGCCACACCTACCCGGCATTCGACGATGCATAAGTGGGTTTTTGGGTTGCATTTTGGGCACTCGGTCTCTAAAAGGTTTGCCATCACTGCATTATACTAATACAGGCTTCAGTACACTACTAGTATACAATACAGTACATTATATATACAGATTACACATCTATGGGCTTTACATATTATACTAAGCTATGAATTGTTGAATAGGTGGGATTCAAATATTTCAGTAACACAGTGAAGAAACTGAAATTAGTTTGAAAGTTTATATGGGCCATTCACTTTCATTAATGCTCTTCAGGTCCTAGGTATCTGGGGGTGGGCAAGGGTAATTACATCATGAGACATATGACATGATGATGTTGTCATTGTGAGATCTATCATAATTTGTGCTCCAGATCTGTGAGCAATACTCAAATAGCTTTTGCAACAAATTCTGGATGGAGAGGTCCCAACACACCTGAAGACACGCAGGGGATTTCTTGGTAGAGCATTCATAGTGGAGAATGTTTCCTATCCCATTAGATTTGTAGGGAAATGGAGATTATATTAGTGTTTTGGTGCTGAAAGCCATGGACATCACAATACAAACACTTGTTCGTTTCTCTTTCAGACCATGAAAGTCTTCGACTTGTCAGTGAAATCTGGTGACTGCATCAAACTGAAGGGGAAAATACATCAAGGGGCCAAGAGGTCTGTATGGTTAATTGGCTTTAGGCAGGTCTGATATGACATTAGGTCGTTTCTGGCTTTGGACAGATTTAAAAGTCTTCCTTTTCCACTTTTGTTGCTCATATAAATGTTATTAATGCAGTGTTTTCATTGGCAGTGAGCTTAAACAATTCAGTTTGCAAACAAAATATCTTAAGTTGCCAACAACTGGTACGAAATGACTTTGAAATGACCGAAGCTGGATTCCAGCACCTTTACAGACAACATGGTTTGCTGGTGTGGAGATGGAAAATGACCCACTTCAATCTGTTTTCAACAATGCAGCCTTTTTTTTAATATCCCCAGATTTAGCCCAAAGTCACTTTTATCTTGCAAATCCCAGCAACCGTGTGTGTGTGCTTGGAATGAGCTGATAAAAGTGATTGAGTTCACACACTGTGCTGTGATTTGGTGAATAAATCACAATACCAACAACACGGGCCAATCTTCAGCGGGAAATTACCCCCTAAATTAATTTTGGCCCCATCCACTGCAATCCACACTGAAATTTCTGAAGTCGGCTTAAGAAACAGCTAGTAGTAGTATTTCTCAACCTGAACGATTTTAAGATGCAGGGATGTCAACTTTCAGAATTTGGAATTCAAATCCCAGAGTTCAGCCTGGCTGGAGAATTTTGGGAATTGAAATCCATGTTTTAATATACAGCGACCCCTGACCTTTGGGCATCAGGGACTGGTTACGTGGAAAGTAGTTTTTCCTCAGATCAGGGAGGTGTGGTTTCGCACATGCTTGCATCCTGCGTGTGCGTGAATGGGGCTTCATTTGCTTGTATGGCCCAGTTCCTGGCAGGTTGTGGACTTCTGCTAGCCCACGGTCTGGAGGTTGGGGACCTATTAATATAGAGGGCAGGTAGCTTCCACTCCAGTGCAGAACTGCTCTTGGAAGATTTCCTGGGAGCAAACCTCACTTTCAGCTTGCTTGATTATGAAGACTTGCTATCAGCAAAATAATAGGGCAGCAATATTCATGGCTTAAGCTGAGTTTCCCTATCCACCCACCATTTTTCACCACAGTAAGCTTCTCTTGCATTCAGATCGATGGGTCTTCTTCTTCAACCCAGACATAGACAGCTCATGGTCTACAGACTCCACATTACATTTAACCCAATTTCTGTGCCCCCTCTAAGGGCAGATCCACACATTCACCCAAATACGCCCCCACCCCCTAAATGCAGAAAAATATGTTCTTCTTCCAATCCCATGCTATTGCAAACGTACTTCCCACTTCCCCTGCCCCAGTTGAATTTTCTAGCTCTGATTCAAAATGGGTGCTTTTCAACTGGAGCCATTTTCAGCCCTTCAGGATGGATAGTCTGTAGGGCTTCTTTCTGACTGAGTTTCAGCTACAGCTGCAACTGGCTGCTTCAGGCTCCAAAAACCAAGAAAAACACACTAAACATATATTCTGAGAACTCCTAGGGAGGAGCTTTCTTGACTTTCTTTCTCCCACATGCTAAGCTTTGCTGTCTTTTGCTCCTCTTGAATACACCCCCTTCCTTCTGGGAATGTGGACTACATTCCACCACAACTCCAGGGCTTCCAACGTCCCTTCCCCTTCAGCAGCTGCTCATTGTCCTGAGTGGCCATTTTGTGCTGGGCTGCTCTGTTCTCTACTACCATTAAAAAAAAATATTGCAGTTAAGGCATCAATGCCCATTAAACCAACCAACTTTCCCTATCAATGATTTTTCCACCCTGTTTAAAAGCTCTATTCAGCATCCCCAGTGGACACTCTTTCAGTTTTGAGCCAGAGGTTTAGTCCCAATATTTTCTCTTGGTTTTGCAAATTGATGCAATGTAGGCTTGATGCTTCAAAGCTTTGTTAAACAAAGTCCTGCTGAATCGAGTGCCAACGTGGTGATGAAGTGCTTGGAGCATACTAGGGTCTGCTGCAATGAAATCACAATGCTTCAAAAGGAAATGAAAGGAAAATTAAGAGGATTATGTCAGGATCAAGTGAGAGAATGCAGGAAGGAAGACAAGCAAGGCCTCCATCAGGAAACCACAATGGACCTGGTGAGAAGAGAACACTTCCTTGAAGGAAAAGTAGGCACTGGTAGACCGGATCCTCCAGCAGTCAACCCCAAGGCTTGCCTTCCCTTCCTGGATGGGAAAGGCAGGAAATAGGAAAAGAACTAGTCAAATCTTGTGATGGTCAAAGTCTAGACTGAGCACCGGCCCAAACACCACCCCAGTCTTGTTGCCAAACCACTGAAAATAGGACTGCAATTTCTGAAATTGGCTTAAATAACTTGTGTTTAATGTGTCACCCTTCCCTTTGTTAGTTTTGCCATCAACCTAGGTCGGGATGATTCTAATCTGGCCATTCACTTGAATGCTCGCTTTGAAGCCCATGGAGATGTCAAGAAGATTGTGTGTAATTCCAAATCAAATGGTCAGTGGGGTGCAGAGGTACGGCCATCGATATTCCCGTTCCAGGAAGGAGCTGAAATTAAGGTAAGGAAGAGCATTAAGGCACTGAAGTGTCAATTCAAAAGATATGGGATCTCTTTAAAAATGTTGCTGGGTGTTAAAACATTCTCCTTTCTCTGAATGTTTACCTGGACTTTCTGGCCTGCCCCATGTGAAATGCCACTGGGGGCACCATGTTCGGAAAAATGTTAGCTGCTGCTACCAACTCACTTTCTCAGTCACTTTTTTTCCAAGGGAATAGTGAGGAGTCTCAGGTTGGATCCACTGCTTAGGTTAAAATGAAACTGAATAGCAATGGCAAAGCACTTAGACTTATATACCACTTCACAGTGCTTTACAGCCCTCTCTAAGCAATTTACAGAGTCAGCATATTGCCCCCAACAATCTGGGTCTTCATTTTACTACCTCAGAAGGATGGAAGGCTGAGTTAACCGTGAGCCGGTGAGAATCAAATCAAACTGCCGAATTGCTGGTAATTAGCAGTCAGCAGAATTAGCCTGCAATATATCATTCTAACCACTGCACCACCATGGCTCATAGATTGTTGTTGACCATAAGGTGGGACCCAACCATTGTCTTAGCAACTCCCCAACTCCCAGTCCATGGACCAGCACCAGTCCCCAGCATGCCAGAAACCAGGTCGCGCAAACAAGTGAAGCCCCATCCGCGGGATGCAGGCAGCAGGCAAAACCATGCCCCCTCTGGTTCGCAGGTGTTAAGTTAGTAACATGGTTGTTAAGTGACTCTGGCTTCCCCATTGACTTTGCTTGTCAGAAGGTCACAAAAGGTGATCACGTGATCTCAGGACACTGCGACCATCATAAATATGAATCAGTTGCCAAGCGTCTGAATTTTTGATCACATGATTTTGGGGAAGCTACAATGGTCATAAATGTGAAAAATGATCATGTCATTTTTTTCAGTGCTGTTGTAACTTTGAACGGTCACTAAATGAACTGTTGTTTGTCGAGAACTACCTGTAGGTTCTGGGATCCAGAGAGGTCCAAGCCAAAGTAAAAGTACAACATGATGGCTTAAGGAAGTAAAAGAAAGTCAAAAACATACAAAAAAGAACGAGCCACACTTTAGGTATTTTTAAACAATTAACAAAATTCTGCCATTGGTTCTGCTATGTAGGTAATTCTTAACTTGTAACCACAATTGAGCCCAAAATTTCCATTGTTTAAGCAACACAGTTGTTAAATGAATTTTGCCTCATTTTACAACCTTGTCACAGTTGTTAAAAAAATCATTGCAGGTGTTAAGCTAGTAACACAGTTGTAAAGTGAATCTGGCTTCCCCATTAACTTTCTTTTGTCAGAAGCTTACAAAAGGTGATCACATGACCCTGGGACACTGCAATTGCCAAGCATCCAAATTTTAGTCACTTGACCATGGGGATGCTGCCGCCGTTGTAAGTGTGAAAAGTAGTCATAAGTCACTTCAGTGCTGTTGGAACTTTGAATGGTCACTAAATGAATGGTTGCAAGTCAAAGACTACCTGTATATATAGAACCATAACTGGAGCGATGAATAAACTATGTATTTGGTCATCCATAGGCAAAAAAACCTATGTATATATTTGAAATATATGGAATGGTGGTTGCTCTGCCTCCAAGGCTAACTAACCTTTATTTAGGTCATAAATATTGATGGGTGGAGGAAGAATCTGGATTTTCACTTCCTGTGGCTCATCAAGGAATTAACTCGTTGGCCTGTTCTTAACAGATCTGTCTCTGCTACCAAGCTGATGAAATAAAGGTGAAGCTAGATGGACAGGAAATCAGCTTCCCCAATCGTCTTGGCCTGAATACTGCCCAGTACTTCTCAGTGGATGGAGATGTGAGTCTTCTGTCTTTCAAGTCTTTCAAGTGTTGATGAAACCTAGTCTTACTTCCACCCTGTGGATTTCTTGACTAAGATAAAAAAGGCAAATAAATAAGTCATTTGACTTCTGTCTCAGTTTCTTTTTTCCTCCTTTTAAAATAATTATATAAAAAATAAGACATTAATATTATTATAAAAATGTATACATTGTCAAAAAGAAAATACTTTAAAAAAGTGAAATACAACAGAAAATGTATAACAATAAACATATTATTCTAAATATATTTATCTAATCCATATATTCAAGTCTATATATTTCTAATATATACATACCTAAATCTATCTATCTTTCTATCTTTCTATCTTTCTATCTATCTATCTATCTATCTATCTATCTATCTATCTATCTATCTATCTATCTATCTAAACTATCATATCTATCTTGTGTTTTATATAAATGAGTTCCATATTTCATATATTTATCTATACAAGGTCTACGTCTATAGCCAGTCGTCCCAAAAGTGCTTTTTCAAGATGCAACTGGACTTTCTGGTTTTTCCTTGAAGATGTTTCGCTTCTCATCCAAGAAGCTTCTTCAGTTCTGACTGGATGGTGGGGAATGGAAGGATTTATACTCCTTGCAGACAGCTGGTCATTTGCATTCTTTACAGCTGCCTGCAGGGAGTATAAATCCTTCCATTCCCCACCATCCAGTCATGACCTGGATGACTGAGAATCTCCATAGACATCTCATAAGAAGCAGGTGCAATCAATTCTTCAATCCATTGAGTTAATGGGACATTTTTTTTCAATATTAAAAATCAGTTTTTTGGCCATATATAAGGGCATACAGAATTCATTTACGTTATCCAGTTGTCAAATTCTATGTGCCACACATATAGCTCAAGAGAAAATTATCCTCTGAATATTTTATTTATTAGTATCCTGCCTTTATTATTTTTACAAACAATTTAAGGCAGCGAACAGATTTTAGATATCTTCCTCCTCCTATTTTCCACATAACAACAGTCTTGTGAGGTAGGTTGGGCTGAGAGAAAGTGACTGGCCCAAATCACCCAGCTGGTTTTCATGGCTAACTCATAGTCTCTTGCTTTCTAGCTTGGTGCCTAAATACTAGACGAAACTATCTTTTTTATCATTTGTCACTTAATCAAATTTATATAATTGACTACTTTCCCCACAAACCTAGCAAGAACAAGACACTGTAAAAACAGGTTTTTGAAAGAAGCATTATCCTTATTACATCTCTAATAAAATGCTGCTTCTGACAACCCTTTTCTATGCAAACCAAATGAAATCCAAAAATTCTAAATACTATTTTGTTTTATTCTACAAGTCATAATGTAAGGCCCACTGACACTCTTGTTACAGGTATCCTCGACTTACCATTACAAATGGAACCAGAATCTCAGTCACTGAGCAAAGTGATTGTTAAGCGATTGTGCAAGGGCACTGGAGGGGTGGGGAGCTGAAAGGCCTGAAAACTGTCACAGGCTAGGAGGCCTCCACTGACTACAGGGCCTACTGAAGGCCAAGTTGGATGGACTTTGTAATACCTGAAATACTGAAAATCTCAGGTTGGAATTAGGGATGTTTGTTAAAGGAATTGTGGAGCAGAAAGCTGCAGCTGAGATAAGTGTAGCAAAACCAATAAGGAATGGTAGAATTAGCAACAAGAAGTTTTACAAGAAAGTTACAAGCTAGAAGGATGCTAAGGCACAGGGATATATAAACTTTGGTAACCTCTACCTTATTATAATAATAAAACACCCCCCTGCTTTTTGATAAGAAAGCTTATTAACAGAAACATGCAATGTAAGAAGAAAGAGGGTAAAGTAGAAGAATTCAGTCATGTCAAGGAACCAATGTGTGATTCTTAGGGTGTCAACTTCCTTAATCATAACTGTGTAAAATTTGTATTTGTGTGTTTTTCGGGGTCTCAGCTCCTTTAGCTGCTAAGACCCTTTTGCTGAAGTACTCCAATATAATAAAAGTTCCTTGAACTACGTCTCAATGTCTGGCTTTGATTGGCATCTGTGCTAGACTAAACCCGGTTTGCAGACAACAATGTTTTTTGTACTGTTGTACTGGCTAACTAACATGGGTTTTATTTTAAATTTGCCTTTGTCGAATGCACTTGCTAATAATTTGCCATAAGCCTGCCCTCACTACTGGCACACAGAAACCTGCCACAGGCCTGAAGCCCAGACCCTCTCCTCAACCTTTCATCGTTCTAGCCTTTAGGAAGGTCCTGTTTGCTATCTTACTAGCTGCACCTCAAATCATCTGGGTGTGCCTGTCAGCAGCTGCAGAAAAAAGGCAAAGGTAAGTGGATCCAGGTGTGGTAGGATGGGCAGAGGACTTTGGTCTCCTAGCCCTGATGGGGTGGGGAAAACTAGAAGATATTGAAGAACCTTGAATATTTTTTTCTAAACACAGAATTTATTTTCTGAAAATATTTTCCTGATATAGGAACTAATATGGCTCTCAGAATTAAGAGCCACTTAGGATGGACTTTGTAATACTTGAAATATGGGTTTTGTAGTATTGCTGTGTTGACATGGGATTTCTTGTATTTTAAATTCGCCTTATTTCTCTTTTTCTCTCTTTTAAATGTATTGTTTAATAACTTGCCATAAGCCTTAATCTCCAAGAACAATGTAAAAGGCCTCCCTTCTAGAAACTAGGACTTGCCCAAGGGTAAAAATGTGTAAGAATGTAAATTCTTCACTGTGTTTATTAGTTCTATGTTGCAAATACTTTCATTGACAGTATGCTAAAATGTATTATAAATAAAATGCATATTACTGCTCCTTGTTTCCCCAGTCCTGAGATCAAAGTGGTGCACAGGGAGTTGTATTTATCCATTTTGATGCTTTTCTATGTATAAAATGGTTCCTATTGATTTTCTAGCCAATTACTGATTTAATGGATACCTATATAACTTAGAGCATAGGAAGTTGCTCTATGAAGCTATCAGAGGATTGTCTTGATTTTCATTAAGTAAAATGGATGCAAAGCCTTTGCAGGCAATCTTTTATTTCTCATGAAATTGTCTTGAGTCAAATTCAACATTAAAGAAACTTTGCCTTTATTTGTACAACTTAATCATCAGAGACTGCCATCTACTGGGAAGGTTTTAAAAGTATGATCAAGTAAAAAAGGATCCTGAAAAAGATCAAATCTGTGAAAAGAGCAGAGAACCCAACCGTATCTTAGAAACATTAATATAGAATAGGGAACAAGGTGTTCTCTGGATGGTTTAAACTTATGTAAAGCATTTATTACTTCCGATTATTAGCCAGACCTGGAGGACCTAATTTGATTAATTGCTTTTATAGCTTGCCTTTCCTGCAGAAGTTAATGATCTCAAACAAAACACCCCTTTATTTAACAGTTAATTGGGTACAATATATTAAGCTGTGATATATTTTCTTCCTCTTTCTCATACGTATATTTTCTTCCCCTTTCCCAGAAGTTCAGTGTGGTTACACTGCTACCTCCTTTATTTTATTCCCATAAAAGCAAACATGTGAAAGTATGGACAGAGAGACAGGATGGCCAAAACCACCCAGCTTTAGAATAGAATCCAACTTTAGAATAGAATAAAGCTGGAAGGGACCTTGGAGGTCTTCTAGTCCAGCTCAGTTTGTTTCTAAAGTACAGATAGTCCTTGATTTATGACTACAATTGAACTCAACATTTCTGTTGCAAAGCAAGACAGTTGTTAAGTGAATTATGCTGTCCAACACACTATAAAGGTGCTCATCAATCAATCAATCAACCAATCAAAAAGGGAGAAAGGCTTAAAGCCTTCTCATGAGCTGAAATATAAAATGAATTGTGTAGGATTCTCAACTTTTTTTTAGCTCTTACGCTATTACACCTGTATTAGAGAAAAGGGGAAATAATATACATTATACATATTAATTTAATTACATATTATGATCCATTATATTGTCCTGTATATCCTGGATCTCACTTATAAATGTTGTTTTACAAATATAATTCAACACTAATATTTAGTTTATTATCTGTACGACCGCAATAAACTGGAATGGAATAAGTCTATCAGTACTCTAAAATGCTGTTCACACAACGCAGCTGTCTGCTTTTGCACAAAATGCATGTACCTCCTCAGACCCCTAAACCTCTCTAAGAATCTTCAGGATCCACCTGCAAAATCCGGCAAGCGGACCCTAGCTGCTAACCTTTCAACCCTTGGCATTCGTCCAGCATCCAAATAAAACTGAGCATGCGCTCCATGCCGATTAGCATTGGCTGATAGATGGAGAGTACGTATGTTGCGTAAGGGGAGTTGTAGAGGCGGGGACAGGAAACAATGATTGCCCGCTGGAATTTCTCCTCTCTAGAGGAAGAAAGACTCTTTTATTTTAACCCTTCGAATGACCGGCCCGTGAGGAAAGGGGAAGCGCTGAGAAATGGCCCCAAGCATAAAGTCCTGTCGTTTCTTTGCCCTCAAAACAAGAAAAACCCAACATTTAATAAAGGCGAATATTTAAAGGGAATCTAGGTGGTGGGAGAACCTGAGAGGAGAAAAATCTAAGTTCTCTTTCCGTGTATGATGCAAGAAAGGAAAACGCACAGTGGCAGAGTTAAAATCTGCACGTGCAGCCCCGGAGAGGGGAGAGAATTCCTCCGTTTCTTAGAAAATTAAGGAAAGATCTGGTCTTTGCGAGAAGGAAGGCCATACTTTTCCCTTGCAAAGCCCCAGCGAGCAAGAAGAGGATGCTCCTTGTGACTATGAATGAACCCCCCATCTCTGCATCCAGGCTTCATAATAAGATCACCAAGTGTCCCTGAAATGGGGGCGGGGGGACCTGCCCGAATTACTTTCGCGTTTGCAGTGAAACTAACTTTTGTGGATTTGATTCAGGTGCAGTACATTGTTTATTCTTTCCTGCCACCAGCTTTTAATTCATAAAGTTATACAGATTGATCCCTTGATTGTCTAGCCATTAGATGGCAACAGAGAATTAAGAGTTTGTACAGTATCTCTGCCACATAGAACAATTTTTTTTATCGTCCTTGAA